TCGTGTTAAAAAGTGCAAAGCACAAAGGGATGAGAAATTGATGCGTAGTGTATTATATCTGTGCAACAGTTATTGAGCCTTTCTTTTAACAGTTTTAAATTTCAGTTACTGTGCACGTTAAAAACAATTTAGTCTTTTCTACTCCCGTGTTTTGTTCTCACAGACACCCGGTAGCAAGTAACAAAAACATTAAACATTAAACATTAAACTCCATTTTTTGTTTTTTTTCTGAACTCCTTTTTAATGGTTGAATTAAATTGTATTAATAAAAAAGCATGTCTAATTAATTAAAATCATGAAACTTAAACATTTAACATCAATTTATTAATTTTACAAAAATTCCCAACCTTATGTTTTATTGTTACCAAATTCTGTTGTAGCATGTCTAATTATTTGAAAGCATAAAAACAAGTTTAATTTATTCTTACAATAGCCTTATGATTTTTTGCTCAGAAATTTTAAGTTGTGTATTTACATTTTTGTAAGGCATAAACAATCATTTAATCTATCTTTTAAGTAATGAAAATTAAACATTTAATGTTTTTTGGAAAATAAAGGTAATTTAATATTACAGTTAAAAAATTTAAGAAATATTGTATGATCATTCCTTAAAAATAAGGTTTAAATAATTTTAGTAGTAGTAGCAGCCTATTACGTACATTCTACTGAACAACAGTAATATATTTCTGCTACAATGCCTTCAAGTTAAAACAAACTTTTATTTTGACGGGTTGCCGTGAATACCTTTACATTTCTGTGTGCATATGATATGAGGATAGTTTTACTCAAATGTTCATGTATTTATGTCCTCATTTAGTGAGATGGCAGACACTAAAATCACTGCGCTTCAGTACAAGTAACGTTAGTAAACAAAACTGCACATCTGCGCCATTCATTAACACAGAGACACGCAGAATTCATATTTAAACAGTCGTTTTGTGGCTTAATATTAACAAATACTAGTGGGAGTGGGAGTGAGAGTGGGCGCACGTGTGTATGCGTGCACGCTCGCACATCGAGGCGGAACACCGCTGTGCGTGATACAGAGAGCACGACCATAACGTAGAGACCGAAATGGCATGCCATCGCGTAAATAAGATAAATAACATAAAGCTATTTAGTTTGTTTAATAAAAGAACAAGGTATATTCCGTTCTATCGGAAAGGTAACTTTAAATGACTTCTGTTGTGATCTCACGCTATAGAGAAAATGTAATTAAATAAAATTAACTTGACCTTCAAGGGGGGCGGGGGGTGCCGTTGGGGGGGCAGGCCACCCCCCTAAAATAATGGCAGGGGAAACACTGATATCGGCTCAGCGCATCCCTAATTGTTACATCCCTAACGGTCACTTTTGATTACTTGAATGCATTTCTGCCAAATAAAAATAATTAAAAAAAAAAACCTAGCCCCCAACTTATGAATGGTAGTGTAACTGGTTGATGTTTTCCATGTAACTAAAATAATTGGTTGATGTTTTCCATGTAACTAAAATAAAAGGGGAGTGGAAACTGGAGCTTTCAAGAGGACACAAAATCAAGATCATATTTTTGACTCATGAGCTAAACTTCAGAACTCAATCAATCATTCAGACCAAATCATTGGGGGAAAATCATTCATAAATCAAATTGCTAAGTAGAGCAATGATAGAGGTCAAAAATTTCAGTGAACAACTTTTTTGTTATTCTGGAATTTGACAGCCCCAGTTCACTTTTATTACATTAGGTTAAGTTGTCCATGGAAGGAAGACGGTCATAAGGATCTGGAATAAAACAAGGATGAGTAGGATTTTTGGGTGAACTACTCCTTTAAGAAGAGAAAGAACATCATAATGACTCTGCTCTACAAATTTAGATGGGACGACAAGCAACCTATGGCTCAACCCAACTCAAGCGCTCCATTACATCGCTACCCATCACATGGGCCTCACAAATAGCAGTATGGGCTGGGCCCCCGTCGCAGAACTATTTTAAAGAAGTGTGTTTGCTATGGCTTAAAGACGGAGCACTAGGGACAAACAGCCGACGGGATCAGTGTGTAGACTATCCAAAGTTCAACCTACAAAATCACGCACTGCTCTTGACTAAACAACTTGTGTAGCTTTAATAAGGATCCATCTATATAATTTACACAGTACTATGCAGTGTTTTTATATTTAATTTGATTATATTTCTCTATTCGCTTTCTCACCTGAACAACACTGTTATATGTACCATTGTATGCATCTGTGCTTTTTCTAGTAATTTGTTTATTTGTTATTAGTTTATTGCTGACCGTTTACTTGTCTTATAAAATGTTTGAAGTTTCTATTAAAGGGATAGTTCACCCAAAAATGAAAATTCTGTCATCATTTACTCACCCTCATGTCGTTCCAAACCTGTATGAGTTGCTTTCTTATGTTGAACACAAAAGAAGATATTTCAGACAGTTGGTGGTTGCCATTGACTTGCATAGTATTTTTTTTTCCTACTATGCAAGTCAATGGCAACCACCAACCGTTTGATTACCAGCAATCTTCAAAATATCTCCTTTTGTGTTCAACATAAGAAAGCAACTCATACAGGTTTGGAACGACATGAGGAGTAAATGATGACAATTTTCATTTTTGGGTGAACTATCCCTTTAAGCTAGTAGTTATTGCTGTGGTATTGAAATTTAGATATAACAAATTCACTAATATGTACAATTTTGGTGTTGTTACAACCTTATTCATTAGAATTCAGGGTTACACAGGTCAAAAACAACAAACATAACTTTTTGTGATTATTTTGGAAGAGCAAATAAAAATCTGAAACACAGGCCTGTCCAGACCAAAAAAATCCCAAGAAAAAAATCCTAAGCATTGAGCCGAGTGTAAAAGTAATGAATCTTTTCAGTATCAATTTTACACCACGGAAAGCAATGAGAAGCCTAACTTGCAGCCTAAACTGACCCTGGTTTCAGAAATTGCAAACTGAAATGCCACAGTGTGAGAAATCCACTAAATTGTCATGGAAAAGCTGTCAGATATCTCATTAATTACCGCTGTGATGATTCGTTGAAATAGTAGCCCATAAGACTGGAAAACCAAGTCAGCAGCAGTCAGATTCTGACCATCCTGTCTGTATAGTTCCTGTCCCAACCTTCAACAGCCCATTCAATAATATTCCCCAAAACTGAGGGTCCAAGTAATATTTAAAAGTATCATGAATGAGGTTGTATTGCTTCTGACAACATAACCATCTTCTGACAAGAAACAGCCTTTGAGTAAACATCTGATAAATGGACTTAAAACAGAAACCATCAGCTATCAGGGTTGGTCACATGTTACAGCTGAGTAGTGAACTCACTGAAATTGGAGGCGAGTAATTGTTTAGTCTGTCTAAACCCAGTCAGCTATCTACCTAAACAGCATTTATGGCCATCGTTTATGTGCATAAAGACAGTTCACTGGGTTCTTCAACGCATAATGTCGGAGCATTTCCTCTTCATACACTGTGTAGAGTCAAACATGAGACGATTTCACAATCTCTGGCTGAACATGACCAAGCGGTTGCACCGGCAAAGACTCAAAACCTCCTTCCACCTCAGTCAACTCCCAATAAATCTCACAAGCGCCTATTATAAAGGCGTTTTAGCTTCAAATATCTGTTCTCAGGTTCACTGGTAAACACATATGTCGAGTAGAGCAATGTGCTAGGCTAACTGGCCCTTCACACTCATGCATGATGTAGCTTCTCTCGGGGTTTCAGCTACACATTTTGTCCCCAAAGATCGCAAATAACAGAGCTAACGCGTCAAAAAAAACAGTATAGGTTGGATACTTACCCATCGTGCTTTCTTTGCGGGTATACGCTTTGATTACTGGTTATATCAACGTTGTAATCGTAACACTCTCCTCGTCTTCCAGAATTTGCTCCTCGCAAACAATATGTCGGAGATCTACGGAGAGCCGAAGGAGACAAACTTAACGACAGCGTTTCCAATTTCTGTTCAACGAAACGCTGAGCAAACGAGCAAAATGCCAGCGTATCGTCATCAGGATGTGTCAGAAGTGATCATTGTTATATAATTATAATGTTTTTAATCTCTAACGTCTTACTGAATTAATACATAATTACGTAATTATCCTACAGCTCCAGTCTTTGGGCCCCTGATGGCACTGCTTTCAATGAACACTTGGGGGCAACGTTGGATTAGCTCAAAGGGGACGCACCACACGGAGAGATTTTCATCATGTTGCTGAGACACTGTGGGTTTACATTTACACGCATAGAAAAACAGCGACTAAGCTTGGTTTAGTGTGATGTGATATAATTAAATGTATAGGGTCTTCACATCTGCAACCCTGCTAATGCTGCTGATGTCAGTATTCCTGCAGTGCTTTACAGTTTTCCACCAATTCCTAATTTACGGACCATCAAACCTGATCTTGTGTAGCTAGGCAGTTTAATAGAATGGGAAAATAATACAGCGTCATTTATCAGTGCCAAATTTCAAAAGGTAAGCCGTGACCCCAAGAATTCCTATATCTGGCATAAGCAATATGTTTCAGTAAAGCTATGTAACAATGCAGACACACAGCTCTTATTGTTTATATTATACAAAAAATGAGTTTTCTGTATTTATCGGACCCTGTAGTTGCCACTCCACGAGTAGAAAGTCATTTACATTTTGAGAGATTTAAATCTTGTATTCTGATCAAATTTGCATTTCTGCCCTAACAGTGAATTCTCAGAGTCAGACAAAGGAAGGAAGTAAGGCTTTAGGAATATTATAGAAATATGAATTGTTCTCCTGCATATTTATTTAAGCCTGCCAGCGCTCTCGTTCATCTAATCAATAACCAGTCCTACATAATTGTGGCTATACGCACACATTTACACTTGACAGTACTACTGTGGCGTCTAGCATTACAGAGCCAACTAGTAATTAAGATTAAATACAGATTAAGTTCCCTTTAGACTTCATTTAATTATAACATGCCGACTGTTCTCATTTTCTATTTTATATGCATGCTTGTTGATGAAAGCAACCTCGTATAGACCACGTAGTTTGCTTGTTAATTTTGGCTAATCAAGCCTTCAATGTATCATTTGCAAAATAACAAGATAACCGTCGAAAGCACTTTGGAAGGCACGTCTGTGAATGCAGTTTCTAATTTGCTGATTCAATTACACAGCATATGCTAATGACCAGCCTCTAACGTACCGAAGAATGAGAGTTGACTGCTTGTCACACAGATGTCTATCTTTGGATCCCCTGCAAGCAGAGCTTTGTATCTTCCTAATAAAGAGAGATCCAGATAGCAGAAGAGGGAGGGGCAGCTACTCAACAGAGGTGTGTGGGCACAGAGAAAGTGATACGTCTTTATTAATAAACCATAAAATTAAATTCACACTGTTCCTCGCTCCCTATCTCCCTCTTATCTGTCTCTCTTCATGTGGAGCCAGAAAGGTAGCACAAGTGATAGCACACTGTAAGCGTATATTTGAGAAATATGAGAGAGAGAGAGAGAGAGAGAGAGAGAGAGAGAGAGAGATGGTCCAGCTGTGCCAGATTTCATAAAAGCATGGTGCAAGTTTTGCTAGTTATGAGAGTCACTCACAACCATCAGGCGCCCAGATATGACAATGTGAGCCATCATTTTGAGTGGCAGGCTCTGATGCTATAATTGGGTGTTTTTAGATGAACTCCAGGGCTTGGATTTAAAGGGATAGTTCACCCCCAAAATTGAAAGGTTTGTCATGCTGTTCTAAACCTGTGTGCTGTTGTCTAGTTTCTGTGGAACACAGAAGGTGAATTGTTGAAGAATCTTAAAACGCTCTTTTACATTCAAGGACATTATAAGTCATATAGACACCATGTCTTTCAAGACATTCTCTTGTGAAAAAGAAGTACACTTTAGCATACTTATAAAAAGAGTACTTACTACAGAAATTATATATTTTAAAAGAATGTACCAGTGCAACATGAATGTAATATTTTCTGACACTTAAATGCAGGATTGCAAATAAATTAAAATGTATTATAGGTTAAATTTATATTAAATGCAATTAACTGAACTTTAGAGTGCTTTTCCCACGAATGTAGGACTTTATATGTAATTTCATATATTGTCTTTGAAATATGGTACAAACAAACTTTTTTGTAAACTAAAATATACTTTTTATTCCCAATTTCTACACTAAAAATTGCTTGCATATTTCACAAATAATTACAAAGAAACAGCAAGCAACACACTATTTTGTGTAATTTTGAAAAACTGAAATAGCATTTTCTTGTCAAACCTACTCCAATAATATTTATTTTATTTACATCTTTTTTTACAGTGTATTGAAACTTGTATGTCATGTATTTAAATTTATTTGTAATTACACACTTTAATCAAATACTTTACATGTGCTTTAGTGTGTTAGTCAGAATAAGTTCACTTCTTTAAAACACAACAGAAGATTAAAACATAATGATTTAAAATGTACTTTAAAGTAAATCTTTTATTTTGACTTTATTACAAAGTGCATTTTTTTAAAAAGTGTGTACTTAAGTCTTTTAAGAAACAGTTATGAAAGTGTGCTTTTATATCATTAATATTGTATTATCTGCAATACAGTTTTTTATTAAAAAACATTATTTTAAGATTTAAAGTACACTACAAATGCACTTTCAATACAATTAAGTGTGCTTCTTTTTCACAAGGGCTATACAATATAAAACACTATAAATATTACAACTTGTGTGTTGTATCACACATATTTAAAAGTCGTATGAGAACGTTTATGTGAGGAACAGACTGAAACTTAAGTCATTATTAACTGACAAACTTCCCTGTTCTGATCTAAAAATGTTGCATCAATGCATCATTTCAGTTTTTCAGTTTGAAACAACTTAAATTAATTCACATATGTTGATTCATAAGATTTGAAATATACTGCAGCATTTTATTTAAAGAGCTTTTCTGCCATTTTTACAGTGAATTGGCTTTTTTTAAAAGAGTCCAGGGACTTGAAATGTGCAGAGATGTAGATATGTTGGTGCAGTTTTGTGTCTCTTCAAGAAGCTGTGAAAAATTGCAATTATAATATATATCAGCTGTATATAAATGTAATGCATATTTTCTTTTACCAAGAAAAGAAGCATTGATTTTCACTTTCACAGATTTTATTGCCATGATTAAAATACACAGTAAAAGAAAACTTGCTCCTCATGCTACATTGTTGTAACAGTGAGGCTGAGGCGGCATTAGAATCCATTTGCAGAAGTTTATTAATAGAAATAACAGGCAGAGAGTCAGTACCGTAATAGCAGTCCAATCTTTCAACATACACAAGGGAGATCCAAAAGGCAGAGACGAGTAAGCAGGCAAAAGGTCCAAACACAATCATCAGTCCAAATCAGGCTATCAATCCAAAGGGGTAAATCAGTAACCGTAGAGCAGATAATCAGGCAGAATCATACACAGACTAGGCAGGCAGAAAACAATGGAAACGCTTGGTAAGGCAGGTAAACTGGCAATACTTCGCAATGAGCAAATACACAGTTCCTTGCTAAATACTGAACAAACAGGAAATGAACGCAGAAGCAGAGGGAGCGGTACACAGTCAGTACTCAGGCGAGGGCTCCCTCTGCTGGTGTGGCGTTACAGAACCCCCTCCTCTAGGATCGCCTCCTGGCGCTCGACGTGGGCGTCCCCGTGGTCGTGGTGCTGGTCGATCGGGTCTGGCTCGATGAAAGTCCTCCATGAGAGAGGGATCCAGGATGTAACAGGCGGCTACCCACGATCTCTCCTGAGGTCCATAGCCCTCCCAGTCCACCAAATATTGAAGCTGACCCCCTCTCCGTCTTGAGTCCAGTAACTCATTCACTTTGTAAGCTGGGGTTCCATCAACATCCAGCGGCGGTGGTGGCTCTCGAGCCTCATTGTCAGGGTCAGCCTCTGGGTGGACCGGTTTGAGGAGTGAAACATGAAAGGATGGAGAGATACGATAGTTAGCAGGAAGCTCTAACTGATATGTGACCTCATTTATTCTTCTTAGAATTCTGAAAGGACCAACATACCTGGGGCTGAGCTTCCTGCTTGGTAGCCGCAATTTGAGGTTCCTCGTAGAGAGCCAGACCCATTGTTCAGGTTGGTAGGGAGGATGTGGGCGATGTCGTCTGTTAGCCTGGAGCTCCTGTACTCTTACGGCTCTCTGAAGACGTACATGTGCGCTGTCCCACACCCTCTCACTACGCCGGATCCAATCATCCACTGCAGGGACCGATGAGGGTTCCCCAGACCACGGGAACAAAGGGGGTTGATATCCAAGGACATACTGGAAGGGAGTCAAACCAGTGGATGAGTGAGTCAATAAATTTTGTGCATATTCAGCCCATGGAAGGAACTCAGACCAGTGGTGTTGTTCTCGGCTACAATATGATCGTAGATATCTGCCTATCTCTTGATTTAACCGTTCAACTTGTCCATTTGCCTGAGGGTGGTATCCTGACGTGAGGCTTATGTTGATGTCAAGATGTTTGCAGAATGCTTTCCAAACTTGGGACGTAAACTGGGTTCCTCTATCACTGACGATATCATCTGGTATACCATAAATTCGAAAGACTTGATGAAACAGTGCGTTTGCAGTCTCCATGGCTGTGGGAAGTCCTTTTAGAGGAATCAAACGACAAGATTTGGAAAAACGGTCAATGATAACTAGGACAGCAGTGAAGCTGTTGGACAGAGGCAGGTCTGTGACAAAGTCAATAGATAGATGGGACCAGGGACGTTGTGGGATAGGCAGTGGTTGGAGGAGACCTGAAGGTAACTCCTTGGGGGTCTTTGATTGGGCACAGACTTGACAGGTTTTGACATAAGTAGTGACATCCTTGGTCATCGAGGGCCACCAGAATTAATTTTTGCAGTAAGTGAAGAGTGCAGGATATTCCTGGATGGCCTGAACTGAGAGAAGTGTGGACCCATTGCGTCACTCTGTGACGTAGATTTTGTGGAACATACTGTTTGTCTGGTGGGCAGTTGACAGGTGCTGGCTCTTGTAG